CTTTATTATTTGTGAATTATCATGACTTTTTAGGAAAGGGACTTTTCTTCCCAAATGACTCCAGTATAGAAGTTATCATGACTCTCCACAGATTCCTTTAATTTAGTATCTGTGGATTGCCATGAATTATTGGGAAACAGTGGTTTCCCATTTCCTTCTCCATAGCTTGAATTCAATTTTCCTTCTCTTAAAATGGTTTCCACCCACTTCTAGAGAGCCCAGTATACTCTGCTATTTAATCTATAAGTGAGTTATTGCTATGTAATATTTTGAGAAATGAATTGTTGTGTTACAAAAGAATAACACTTCACACAGTCACATTGAAAATAACTTTCTAGATGAATATTAGTCAATAAAAGAAATTAAACTTACATTCCACATTAACAAACTGTGAACCAATTATACGTTGTAGTAATTTAACAGTTCTATTTCGAGTGCTAAAGCATCTGTAATAGCCAGCATCTTTTGGAGAGGACACATTCATTCGAAGTTGGATTGTTCTAGAGTCGATCCTTCGAATTAAGCGAGGACTAATTTCTGATCCATTATGTGTGAAGTAGAGGCTACGTGGGATTGCCATTCTGGGATCTGTAACTGTGCAGTTTAACACCAGCATGTCACCAATGAATATATATGGACTTTTGGGAGTCACTGAAAATATAAAGACAAAAGAGTTACAAGAAAATTTATGTTTAGAAATAATTTCATTCATTTTAGAACTTAACAAGCTGTTGCGTGTCAGATTTTAATTGATGAACAAAGCATCAAACAATTTGCAGCAATTTTCTTTTCTTTTTAAACTAGATGGATTTCTTAAAAATCTATTTTTGTTTTTCTGGTAAAAGTTTGCAAAATTAAGCAATCTGAATAATTTACCAAAGAAATCATTTTTTTCACTAATTTTATCACATCTGGTGCGTCTGCTACATATTTAGAGATTCTTGATAAAATACAAAGAAAAATCCAAAATGTTATCGGTCCTGACCTTGTATTTTCACTTCCAGCCACTGTAATGTAGCTTCCCTGTGCCTTTTCTATAAATGCTTTCTTGATAATTGTTCTGATGAACTTTTCACTATAGTTTCTAGACTTTATGAACTTAACTGCTGTATTAGATTGATGGCAAACTCTCATCTTAAAATTGAAATGGCTAGATGTAACTGTAATAAGCTAACAGTTTCTTCTCTCACACTTTTCGTTTGTGGACCGCTCTTCTGGCTTCTTGCTTCCCAGTCAATATTGATCTTCAAAAATTTAAATGAAATGTCAATCATTATCTTCTGTCTTCTTAAATCCTGTCCTTTTATTGTTCTCTCTCCTTAATAGTGTTTTTCATTTTCTCACACTCGGTATCCCCCCCTACATCTTAGCGGCTTTATTGCCTTGGAGTGAAATGATTAAAAAATGAAAAGAAAAAAAAAAAAAGAAGCTTATTTATCATTTCATTTTTTTTAATTATTCCCCCACCCAAGCAATAAAACCACTAAGATGCAAGAGGTTACTGAGAGTGAAAGAAACTGTTATTGAGGAGAGAGAGAGAAAAGACAATAAATGATCAAGATTCAAGGGAACAGAAGATGATGATTGATGCTGCAATTAAATTTTTGAAGATTATAGTTGGCAAGAAACTGAAAGAGAATTCCACAGTGAGAAGTGCACAAGAAGAAATTATTAGAATAGGACTTAATGGTTATGTCTAGCCATTTCAACAGTAAAATGATGAGACCTAGCTGCCAATCTAGTACTGTGCTTAAATTTATAAAGTCAGAGTACTAAAGAGGAATTATCATGAAAATATTTATAAAAAAAGGTGCAGGGAAGCTACGTTATGGCAATGGGAATGTATCACAAGAAAAGAATCATGTACAATATGAACAGAGATTTGTAGCTAATCAACTAGACAGACTTATAAAAATTAAATATTTGACTTACCCCCATTGTATGAAATCCCTTTTATTAATTGAAAAGGGAAAAAGAAGAGCAGTGTGATACACTGCGTCCAAAAGTTAGCCATATCTTCACAACATTGACAATAGCAGCAACTTATGAGGCAAGAAGTTTGTATCAGGTCTGAAAATAAATATAAAGATTAACTATTTAGAAAGATATTATTATTATTTTTACATAGAAAGTTTAAAACATTTTAAAGTGTGTGCTTTTATACATATCACAGCCTTATTCTGTCAGTAAAGCTGGTATTAATTCCTGACTCCTGACAAATTCTTTCTTTTTGATTTACAATGGACAATATACAGATTGAGCGCCTAAATTTGCTAAAACAAATTTTACAAGTCTTATGTTCCATGTATTGCTGGAAATGATATAAACCAATCAGTGTATAACCATTTTTTTCTATTAGATACTATTTCTGGTTTATTCTTACTAGAAAACAGAGAAACTCTATATCTTTCCATATAGATTGTATGCATGAAGAAAGTTGTAGAATGAATTGGCTGAAACATTTGGTAACAGCAAAACAATAAAAAGAGCCCAAGCAATAGTGACTGAAAGCAATCACGACAAAGTTTTAACTAAGCTCATTCAAAATGATTGCTTATGATTGTGTTGCAATAGTTACTATAACAACATGTATTTTTTTTAAATTTCTTAAACCTAGTGTACTTTTGACTATTGGGTAACAAGGAAGACAAAATTTTCAACATATGTTTTCTTTAATTTAAAAATGTGAGTCAAACACAAATGATTTGAATAATTTCAAATTCTCTAAATGACAACTTTTTACAGCTGAAATGAACTTAGAAAAGTAATATTGGAAAAATTTTTGCATGTTTACTTGCTAGGAGTATAAAAATATATGAAAAAAAAATAGCTATTTTCTTCATTTATTTATAGCAGAATGAACAATATTAAACAACAGAGAACAAATAATTTATGTACAAAATATGATTGATCAGTCTTTTTGGTACATATTTTTTATTTTTTGCAAAACTGAAACTGGATAATGTTTATTTCATTAATGTTTCAAAAATGTCAATGTTATCTTATCACATGACATCCAAATAAAAATGTTAAAATACTTTGTTTATTTTGATATTGAAATGAAAAAGTAACATCAAAATAATCTTTTCTTTTGCACCTTATTAAGTTATTCTTAATAAGGATCTTATAATTTTTACATTCAATCATTCATTTTAAATCTTGTACAAGATGATCATTGCTTTTAAATATTGTAAAAAGTTATTCCTAAGTTATCTTGCCTCTATTTTTTTTTGTTCACAAATTTGTCATGTTTTAAAAATGCAATTAATCATGCACTGAGTACACAACTTTAACACATTTAAAAAGGAACTAAAAAAAATTAAAACTGCACACACACAAAAATGGTTTACTCTTAATGACATAAATGAAAAAATGAAGAAAGAATAGAAGAATTAGATTTAAATCTCTATCGAATATGACGGGGGGGGGGAATTCTGCCAGTCACGAATTATGTGGTTTTACTCATTTGTCTTTTGAGCTTTTATATTTTCAACCATGAAAAGTAAAACCATTTTTCTGAATCTGTTTCCTTCTTTCCTGTGAGTAGAGTTAGACAATGTTAATTTTGTTAAAAACATATTCTTGACAATCTTGAAAATATTCAAGAAATCAATAAACATGGAGAGGGATAGGCTCTGCCAGGTCTACTTGCTTGAGACACATGCATGAATGACTATCTCTCCAGTTTTCAAACCAGATATGTGAAGGGAAGTGGTCAGGTGCTCATTCGTGTAGTAACCTTATAACTCCACCCAGTCATGGGATTGATGATGATGATTATGGTATATGATGATGATGACAGAAACAAAAAATATCAAGTATTACATTCAGATCTATCTTCATAGGCGGTGCAGTAAGAGGAGTTACTAATTTTGATAAAATACAAAATTGTGCATAAGTTATACAAAACAAGACTTATACCAAATAGATCATAGTATACAAATAGATTCACACAGACACACAAAAAATGTTTCTGGTCATTCACTTTTAGAGGTTATAACTGAAAAACAATTTTTGATTTCTATGACCTTTGACATTGATCTTCACTTTATTATCTCCAAATTTAATTAAGTTGTTTTTGGAGCTGAAGAAAAAAAAAGAAGAAAATATGAAATGCAAAGAGAAAAGGGAAAGAGAAAAAATGAAAGGATGAAGAGGAGATGGATGATGAGAAGAAAAAAAAAAACATAGAAACAGAAAAGGACAAAAAATAAAAGTCTAAGCAAATAGTCATTGATGCGTTGTTTTTTTTTTTTCTTTAGAGAACAATGCAGCAGAAACAAAAAAAGGCAAGCCTAAATGCAGAAAACAAAATTGTATGCAATAATTCTTGGAATTAAAAAGAATTCAAATCAACTCTATTTCTGAATATACATAATAATACAAACATCAACAAAATCAAGATAAAAAAATGACATTATCCTGGGGAAAAGAGGGTAGTGCCATAGAGTCTGTTAATTCTATAATGATACAAAAGCGAATTGTGTTGAATGAGTAGGGGGCCAACAACAGCAAAGGTTTTGATGACTGAATGAAAAACAGCATGAAAAGGATAAAAATGAGATGTTGAAGAATTTATTTAGATCAAGTTGAATCATATTTGAGTTTGTTTCCTATACCTAAAAAAAAATCAGAATTTAACATGGAATCAAAATTTAATGCCCCTTACATTTTGTCTGCAGAGTTGTCACTTCACAATAAGAAAATATTAGTTTATAAATTCTGGAACCTGCAAATTTCTTTTTTTTTTTGTAAAATCATTATTGATTGTAAAACACAAATGTTTATTATTTTATATCATTTACATTCAGACTAATGTTCTCATCTTTGTTGCTATTATCATAAAATCCTGGCTGTTATACCCCCCAACCTTCTTTACATATTTTTTAATCTGGATAACCTTCATGGAATTTTGAACTGAACACTTTATTTAATATTTTTGGGTAGACTGTTCTCATGCCACTGTCAATGGCTTGGGATATCTTGTCTTCTTGGGCACATGGCCACATCACATTGAAACACTGGTTCTCATACAATCACTGAAGTGAGGCAACATTGGGCCTGGTCAGTAACTAGATGGGTGGCAGTTTGGGAATACCAGGTGCTGTAAGCTTGGATGTATGGGTGGTGTATTGCATAATAGCTTGGAATTGTTAATTAGAGAGTCAAGTTTCAATTCTCATTGGATTCGTTTTATTGACATGTACAAATACCCATGGGAAGAGCATCAATCTGCTTCTCCCTCCAGCTATGGGTTAATTAATAAGACTAAATCATTATTATCTCAAAAAAAAATTCTTATAATCTAAAAACAGTTTCTGGCTTTAAATATCCTGCAAAGGGTTGATAATCTGTAAAAAATGAATGAATCAATCTTGTTTTCTTCCTTTTTAGTACTGCTCAGTTATTACCAACTCATTTTCCTCTGTACTCCCTAGTCTAAGGACTGAACTAATAATCACAGCAACAATTGTAGAGTGAGTGGCCATGATTAAATGTAGATAAATGGCAGAACTGCCCAACAGAAATGTTTGCAATAACAAAAAAATAAAAAAAAAAAAGAAGAAAAGAACAGGATAAAAATAGTATAAAACCAAGCAAATGATATATGCAAGACAAAAAGTTCCCAAATTAAGAATTGGGGTTGAACAAATTCGGATAAGTGAACATAGTGTTCTGACTTCAAGGCAAGACAGACCGAGACTGAGTCAGCTGAAAGTGAGAACTGACCAATTTTATTAGCTAGGAAGAAATCCCAGCATGGATTTGTGTGCATCTGTCTATAAATTGAGGCGGGGAAAGTGTTTTGCAATCATTCCCATACCAGATTGGAACCAACAATTAATCCAACAATAATTCTGTTTGGTAGGGTTCAATGTCCCCCTATGTACAAGAAACACTCTTCTGATCCTACAAAGTGGTGATGCAGGTTTAAACACTGTTATAGGGCAAATTTTCCTTATTAAGTCTTTTGAATGCACAGACCAGTAAACATAATTTACTAGATTTATAAATACAGGGTGTCTACTTAAATATGGGTATTCACAAAATAACATTTGGAATAGTAGAAAATAATGTTGGATAAGAAATCCACTGATTCTGGAGAAATCTATATATATATATATATATATATATATATATATATATATATATATATATATATATATATATATATACTGGATACATATTACATTTTAGATATATGGATTCCTAACCTCACAGATGGTTTCATCTTGAATTTTGTTTCTGAAGTTTACTGTCACTGAATACTGTCCAATTCTGGCCACTTGAGTGGGTGTTGGGATTTATCCAAAAATATTTTCTTGTCAGACATCTTTGGCATCATTCATCATTTTTTTCTCTTTTAGTCATGAAGCAAGAAAAATTCTTAATCTATAGTAAATCGTATCTTTCTGGGCCCATGAGGTCATTAGTGGTGGTGATATCAGCATCTTTATTTCCAAGGTGGTTCAGCTCTGACCAAGTTGACATCTGCTTACATATATAGTCTCTTATTTTCTATGTAAATAAAAAGCAACCTGTAACTTTTAATGGTAAGCAAACATTTTGACTTGACATATGTTAGCAATATTAAACTTTCAATACAAGCAAACAAGAACTTAAACACATGATTCTAGGTTCTTATATTTATTGATTTCATATTTTTTGTAAAGATTTTATTATAGTTCCATATTTTTAATAATATTGAATCATCATCATCAATCTCATTTAAAAGCTGAGTACTTAACCAATTCCCTCTACACATCTGGGTTGAAGGTTGGGTTTATTCATGCACAGTATGTCTTGAACAAGAAAACTTTGCAGAATTCATTCCTGTCTAGGAAGCCTTTTGTCCAGTGATTTTGTGTCATTGCTGTACTGTCTGCATACATAGCTATGGAGTCTAGTCAACCACACCATGCTTTTACAAAACAACCCACTCTTTGCATTAGTCATTCATTGTAAAGAATCTGACCATAATTAAAGGAAATAATTTACTAAGGCAAAAATGTATAAAATGTTCACTAATTTCTGAATCTTACATGATAAATGTGCAAACAGATTCATAACACATTTCAAATTTTTTAACCAATCGACTCTCACACGAGATATTTAAAAACAGCGATTAAAACAGAAACAAAAGTGTTTGAAAGATGAATGAAGTCAGCTAAGCTATTAAAAAGTAAAGTACGAGAAATATGCTCAAGCTTTCAATTTTCTTAAGTCATCAGATGTGATATGTGGATTTTTTGTTTTTTCTTATATACATTTGAGGATAAGTTATAATTGTTTTTTTTTATTGCTTCAAGGATCATAAGTTTGTTTTTTACAATTTGATTTTGCTGGTATTTTGGTATTGTTTGTGAATAGTTGTCTAATGTCACTATGATCCTGATGCTACTTATTAATTTGTTGTCTGATGGCACTCTGGTCAGGTGGCAAGTGAGTTTCTGTGAGAGTGTGGTTGCGGTATATCCTATGTAAAATGTTTTGTGTTTTTTATTTACAGAGAAACTTTTTCTAAGTGGGCAAGTATATTCATAGACAACATTATATAGGGAGCTCAAATTTTTGGGAGATATTATTTTCAACAACTAAGTTGCTAGTTTTTAAATTTTTGTAGTAAATAATAAATTTGATGTATTTATTTTTATCAGCCGATTTTATATGATTTGATTATCATGATGATAGCTTGTGCAGAACAATTCACACTTTTTGAAGGAACTGATTACAGAGAACTGGTGAACATGTGTCACAAGGTCCCCAAACAGCCTTCCTCAGATTTTGAATTCAGAGTTGTCCTTCTCCTAGACTGGTTACCAACTAAGGCTAAAAAGCTCATGCTGTCCTACTATTTAACCCTGGAGAGAGAACAGATGGATTCATAATCTTGGCTCTTTCTTGTTTCAAGCTCCTATCTATCATACAACCTTCACATCTTGGCATATGCCATTCTGGAATATCTACATATTGCAAAAATGATGAAACAAATAATTATCGAATTGGAATGAAAGGTTCTTCTACGTGCAATGTATTCTCCAGACCATTGTTTTACTCCATGTCTGGTCAGCAATTCCAACAAGTACAAGATATCAAAAATACTTCAAAGAACTGAGGTTTAAAACTGGAATTGTTCTTTTATAATATGCACTTTAGCTGAAAGGTGGTGGGTGTAAGGTCATAAAAAGCCAGGAAAAATAATCTGATACCTAAATAATAATTTTTTGCACTATTTACATTTGGACTATTGTCCTCATCTTTGTTGTTGTAAGCACGACATTTCGACCATTGTCATCTGACCATCATCAGGTGTATATTGATCTGGGTAACCAACAAGGAATTCTGAATTGAACCATATATTTAATCTACTGGGGTAGACTCTACTTGTTGCCCTTCCTATATTTATGTATATCGTGTCTTGATCTTATTTTTTAGTACTGCAATAGTCTGAATGTAAATAGTGTAAATAATGGTAACTCCTTATCCCAGAAATTTAGATTGAATAATAATGCTTTGATTTTATACGACTAAAAGATGTTATCAAAAGTATTTAATTTTTTGTGTTAAACTAAAATATTATGAATGATTATGGTTCAAAGCAAAAATTTTTTAAAATCAAACTGAAGTATGTGTTCTTGCTATTTAAAAAAAATAAAATGTCACATTTAATTGTGACAAAAAATTCCAATACACATTCTCTGGAAACTTAGTTGAAAGACTTATGTTTGTAGATATTATTATTTTAAAGTCATAGTGTAGGCACAAAGAGACATTGTTTTGTATTTTTCAATTAACTGAGGATCAATTTGACATTTTCTGGTTCATCACAGTCTCCATTTAAAAAGAATCATTTCCTGATAAGACCCCTACTTCTCAATGCTGGTCTTGAAGATAAGGGATCACAACAAAAACAACATCAAAATACCAAGGGAAGAAGAATGTAAATTGAATTCTAATTCACTTTTGTGGAAGCAGTGGAATTGATTAAGTAATCTATTTTGGAATATTGACTTTTGAGCATGGTATAGTTTATTTTGGATACTCAAATTTAAGAGTACTAAAACAGAACCAGATGTTTTTTGTAACCAATACATGACAAAAATTTCTTTGTTTTTACTTGTTTTTAATACAAAGACTAAAAAACTGGTAAAATTTTGAAACTAAATATCTTCTATATCCCTTCAGGATGTGGGCGATCATGGTCCTCCACGACTTCCTGTCCTGTGTAGCTCTTAGCAGTGTTTTTTTTTTGTTATCTCTGTTCTGTTAACCATTTACACATGCTCGTTAGGTAGTTTAATTTCTGCTTTCCTTGGTCCTTCTTGCCTTCAACATATCTTCTGAGTGTTAAATTTTCCAAGTCCTCTTTCCTCATGTGTCCTACAAATTTCAATTCTTTCTGATTTTAAATATAATTGTCTTTTGTTTCCATTTTTTCTAAAACTTGATCACTGCTTACATGTTCAGTTCATGATATTCTCAGCATCCTTCTGTAAAACCACATTTCTGTTGCCTCAAGTCTCTTAATTCATCTGCGAGTAGATTGTCCAGCATTCAATGCTATATAGGAGGACCATTATTACATAACAGTCCAGTGCTCTTTTCTTTGTTTCTAATGAAATTTCTTTTTCTTAATACTTTGCTTATTTTCTGAAAAGCATCATTTGCTATTCCAATGCACCTTTAGATTTTTGTGTCACATTTTCTGTCCCCTGTTATTTCATAAATATTTTGTTATATGCTTGATTTTGGTGTCTCTATCTTGAGTTGTTCCTTCTACTGATAACCATTATGTTCTATCTTCTTATAATTGATAGTTAGTCCTTTATTCTCACTTTCTTTTACTACCTTGCCCATAATTTACTTTCTGTGTCTGCTATCAACACTGGGTCATCTGCATATCTTATAGTGTTAAGATTGTGATTGCTAATAATGAATCCTGGTATGACTTCTGATCCTTTCAGAATCACCTACACTAATGGTTAGATTTATATTTTAGATTTATTTTATGAATGTGGGTGTAGGGAATAAAAATCAAATGTCAGCATATAATTTATTATTATATATTTGTATTATATTAATTAAATACATATTATGTATTTGTATATGT